CTCATGTACACACACACACACACACACAAATATTTATATATAAATGCGATTGTACAGCTATGTGAATGAATTCGCCGAAAAGAGTCTCTTCGCTGAATGTCTTCTCTTTTTCATATGACTCAATGGGGATTTTCAATCTACTCAAACGTTGCAAGGACCCAGTGACGGTGAAGGAGCTGGATGGTTTCCTGCGTTACTCCGTCAAGCTTGCGGTAGCGAAGACAAAGATTGATTTCTTAAGAGATTGTATAGATCGACATGAGTATCCAAAGATGTATTGGAAGTCACTGAGACGCAACCACATCCAACCGAATACCAGAACACTCAGACGACACACACGAAACAACATCGACTCCATTCAATCACGCGTCCCTGAGCTAGAGCGAAACGTCTATTCAAGAGCTCATGCAGTCGAAGACTTAGATCAAGAACTACGCCATTCCTTCGAAGAATATGTACAACAAGTCACTCAGAAAGAATGTAACAAGACTAAAGCAGATCTTCTCAAAAGCCTAAAGCCTACAATTAATACCGAATCTCCGTTCCCAAGCAATCCAGAAAAGTACGTATTCAATCTTTCAGACATCACACTGTCTACTACTCAACTAGAGGCACTATCTCTAGGTCCAAAATTCTGCGTAAAACCACCAAGTATTGACAAGCTACAATGCCAGGTTCAGTTCGAAAATCTAATAAACCAAACTTACGATCTCACACCTACATCAGACGAAAACCTACAACAATTCAAAGCATCAATCCTCGACTGTTGTCACAAGTTTATAAATACCAAACACAACGGAAGGTCCATCTTGACGAAAAGGCACCATAAGGAGCTGAAAGAACTTATGAAAAACGAAGAGATTATGATATTACGTCCTGATAAAGGCGGAGGAATCGTAATCATGAATCGCAAGGACTATATCAGTAAAATGCTGACTATACTATCCGATGAATGCAAATTCACAAAACCGATCAATGAGAAAAACATGACTGAACAAACCGAACAAAAGCTAACGGACACCCTTCGTAAGTTGAAGACTGAATCCTTCATCAGCAACGAAATGTTTGAATCCCTTAGACCGTCTGGCTCAAATATACCACGACTTTACGGACTCCCGAAAGTACACAAGAAGGATATCCCTCTTCGACCGATCCTCGACATGACCAATTCACCCTATCACCGCACAGCTCAATGGTTAGCAGATCTACTTGAACCAATCAGAAAACAAGTTTCCTGCCACACAGTTCGAGATTCATTCGACTTTATTGACTCAATCGAAAACATTAACGTATCCAACAAGACAATGATTTCATTAGATGTCACATCACTATTCACAAACGTTCCACTGACTGAAACAATATGCTATATATGCGAACTTATTCACTCCAAAGGAATAAACATCGGTATACCCACCGAGCATCTTAAAGAACTCCTACTGAGGTGTACCCTGAATGTTCAATTCTCTTTCAACAACGAAATATATCGCCAAAAGGATGGTATAGCTATGGGCTCACCACTAGGCCCTTTGCTTGCAGATTTCTTCATGGCAAAACTGGAAAACACATGCCTGAAGAAAATGATCAACACCTTCGAAATCTATAAAAGATACGTCGACGACACCTTCATTATCGTCAACAACGAAGAAAATCTAGACGACATCTTAAAGTCGTTTAACAACTGCCACCCTGCAATTCAGTTCACGATGGAGAAAGAGTCCAACTCCACAATATCTTTTCTTGACGTCCAACTAACCAGAAGAGAACAGGATGGAACACTGAGAAGATCTATCCACAGAAAATCGACGTGGAACGGACAGCTTACTAACTTTCACAGTTGGGTACCACTATACACCAAACGAAACCTGATCCGTTCACTCAGCTACAGAGTTCGCAGAATCTGCACCCCGGACACCATAGAAGATGAACTGGACAACCTCAAGAGAATCCTCGTCGAGAACTGCTATCCAGAAAGATTTATTGTGAAATCTATGAATCCTAGACCAGAAAAGCAGCCCATACTTAGCGTCAAGAAAAAACTACTCTACATGAACCTCCAATTCAATGGAGATCTATCTGCGGAAACACTGAAAAATCGACTGTCGCGTTCACTTAAGAAGACTTTCTTCGCAGCTGAACTACGACTAACCTTCTCCACAAAACCTATGATTCATGTGAACGTGAAGGATAAGCTACCGCTGCTGGCCTCATCAATGTGCATTTATCAATTCACCTGCTCGTGTGGAGCCAGGTATGTTGGCCGTACCCAGCGCTCGCTTTCCAAACGTATCACCGAGCACTTACCAGCATGGTTTTATAAAGGAGAAAATCGATGCCCCCGCAGTTCCATCTTAGAACATCTGATCGAATCCGGACACCAAGCTACACCGCAAACAAACTTCAAAGTCGTCTACAGAGTAAGAAGTAGTCTCCCTAAAGGTGTACGAATCAGACTTCTTCAAACTGCAGAAGCAATGGCGATCCACTTGCTAAGTCCTGAACTCTGCATACAGAAGAAGTTCGTTCAATCACTACACTTGCAATGGACGTAATCTATCTTATTAGCCGACATGTAAATTCTACCTAATCTTTTCTTCTGTCTCTTCATTAGTATTATTTTGCTTTCTCAATTGTAACATTTTACAATTTCAACTTTCTTGTTCTCTACCCCCACCCGATTCAATCTCTACACCCCACTACCACTGTTACTGACTTGAACAACGCTCAGTTTCTAGTCATTCATGTTACGTCATCCAACTTATTCACTCAATTTCACTTCTACTTAATCTCTACCTGTAATTACCTCTGTTGCTATCCTGACCTAAGTTGTAACATTTTAGCCAATTATATTACGTCATCTAGTTGTTTTTTTTTTAACTCAGTCTTACTTTAGTTGCTGTCTGATTAACTTTGTCTCTATACTACATCATTCTTGTATTAACTAATCAATTATCTAAACTTGACAAACCTCATGTACACACACACACACACAAATATTTATATATAAATGCGATTGTACAGCTATGTGAATGAATTCGCCGAAAAGAGTCTCTTCGCTGAATGTCTTCTCTTTTTCATATGACTCAAAAAATAATGTTCCAATAATCAGTGGACTTACGGTCAAAACACCCATGGACCAATCGAAACCCAGTCTATTATTTGTGAACCAGCTTTACATGTATTTCGCAAAGTATGTGAAGTAAATCGGCAGTCAGTATTCCGGCTAAACTGGTGACAGACCTATAATCTAATCAATGTCAGATGCATTACACAGTCCACTTCGAATATAAGCACAACGATTTCATTTTACTTTGATCAATCTCCCAACCATAGCTTCTTAAGCAATACTGTCAGTTTAGCCGCCAATCTAGCCAGCATCTTTAAAAATAGTTCAAACAGGTACTATATGATACCTGAGTACTGACAGGTCTTTTCTGATATCCGCTTCATTGCATGTTAGAACTGTAGTCTAGATTGGATTTTTTATAAACAATGCACAGTGGCGTTCAATATGTGAGGGTTGATGACTTCATTCAACTGTTTACGCAAAAGAAGGTGAGGTGGAACTGGGATCCACTGGTTCAACGTGCCTAGATCGATAACCAACACCCGCCTTATATAACAAGCAATCTTTTTTGAGTTGTCACGAGAGATCTGATTGTTTCCCTATGTGGATTAACTTATCTGCTGCTTCTGATACGTAGGCAGTGACCAAGTTATTAACTAACTGCAGGCAGGTGAATATGTCAGAGAATATTGATCGCAACATCCCGCTGTAGTACCATAACACTTCATCGCTTTTTTCTGCACCGATCCCAGGAGGTTGGTCAGTTTTCTAAAAGACAACAGAACTACATTGTGACGCCTAAGACAGAGTTAGCAAATAGGTGATTTCCTGTTGTCTTCAAGAAGTGGGACAGCAATTCCCTTCAGGAATATAATCTGGCGAAATAATAATTTGCTTTATTCCAGAAACAGTACTAGTGGTACAGTGTAGAATTTTCAGCACAATATCTACAATATTTGCATCTAATGTTACAAACATTTAGGAGTATTTAACAACAACAAAAATCTAAAGACCAACAGCAAAAAAAAAACAGGATAAACACAAAATTAATTATAAATGCGAAAAAGTACCAAGAAGTAGAAAGGAAAATAAACATCGTATAATAATAACTCACTAGTGGGTAGTGGAAGCTATGATATGATTATGCATGGTGACAGTAAAGCTATACAAAGTGATGATAAGCTGTGTAGAAATTTCATCCCCGAATCAGTTTTGTAAGATCGGATATTACTGGAGCAAATACCATTACCGTGACGTTTTACTCTTGTGATTTGTTGCATGATATATTGCTGTAAAGTCAAACTGTCTTGAGCTATAGCCGATTGATAAATTTGACTCAAGACTGAATAAGCACTTTTAAAAGTGCGATTTATGCCGGGAAATCGTAAATCTCCCGATGAGTCTCTAGCGATACGACCCCATATAACATTAATATCCGTAGAAGGAGGATTCATAATTTGTTCGTCAATCGTCAATTATGAATCCTCCTTCTACGGATATTAATGTTATATGGGGTCGTATCGCTAGAGACTCATCGGGAGATTTACGATTTCCCGGCATAAATCGCACTTTTAAAAGTGCTTATTCAGTCTTGAGTCAAATTTATCAATCGGCTATAGCTCAAGACAGTTTGACTTTACAGCAATATATCTGCCCTCGGAAGTCTCGACTTTCTCCAGTCATCATCATCAGCATCATCTTCCTCTAAACAAGTTTCCTCCAATCCCGTTGGCAGATTAACTCGAACACATGACGACATAATTGTCGAGAAGTTCTCCTCTTTAAAGCGTATTTTTACTCCGAGTAGTAGCAACAACAGTGAAAGCAATTCACCTAGCCTCCCGTGTTCAGATAGTGTCTTATATCGTCTAATTCTCAATTGTGCCACTAGCGAAATTTGGCATTCACACCTTTTTCTACCAGAATTGTGTAATGATCAAACCAGAACAATTGGTACTACTGCTACAACTACAAATTCAAGATCGTTGAGAAGATTTGGTAACACTAGACTTGGTCGTAATTTACACAACATTGGAATAATTTTTACAGCTATATTAACAATTGTAATTGATTTTGAATAAAGAAAATGATTTAAACAAATCGGTGTGAATAGATTGACAATTTGATCAACTTGTTCCACTGAGAGATTCCGGTGGAATTCTGGTGGTGCATAGCCTAAGTCTAATGCTTCAACTGGAGGGAATAATTCATCACGTAAACGACTAATTATAAGCAGCGTAAAAACTTCCATATAAACCATGCCAACTGCAGTTTTGCTGAATCAATTTGATTCGATGATGGATGATAGAAGGATTCAAGTGACTTTAACAACTGTTCTAAACGATAAATCACAGTGGATTGACACTCTGGTCTATCTGGACCAATAGTATTCATTATTAATTAATTCTGCATACAGCTGTATTTGATCACTGTCCATTAATTCTCTAGAAGACAATGGTGTATTTCTAAGCGTAATGCCTCGAAACACTGCAGTGAATATACGCTCCATATGCGGTTCCCAATCGATACGACCACGACCAATATGTGAAACTTTGCATAATATTTCAATAATTTCATGAAGGGATCTACAACTTGGTTGGATATGCCATATACCGAATATGTCTGGTAGCCAGACACGACTAATCTCATCATCAAAATATTTAGGATAGAATGGTGTATAAATCAAGAATTTATGCAATAGCGTACAAGGCGACCCAGTAATCAAATCACTACAAATACTGTGACGAAATGTTAACCATATTTCTTCAATTGACGTCTTCGGAGAGAATTTTGAACATAAAGCGATATTGGAATGATACAGTTTATCAATTCGTGACTTAGGCCATTTACCAACTTGATATGATGTTTCCAACTTTTCTTCAGCCCATGTACAAATATCGAAAAACATTTTCCAGTCAATAGACATAGCAGATGAGTATGGTTTACTCATTAGTTTCTTTAATAATTCCATTGCACTGTTACTAACTAACTTGCGTATCAATATTTGGATAGCAGATATACGCTACAACTAAACGAATCGAAGCCACTCGATGCGTTTTAGATAGATAGACGCATTCCAAAAACGTCAATAAATCTTTGAATTGAACTGAATACTGGACTAATTTCACACACACAGAACATCACCAGATGACAGGACATCACATAACCATTGTGAAATTGACTCCCATTCACCGCGTATCACTTTGTTCAAATTATTCGGATGAATAGGCAGTAAACGATCACTCCGTCTAGACATATTTGATGCAGATGCCAACGACGATGATGATTGGTTACTAGTATGATGATTGCTTACGAATTTGGAAAGAAATATCCCCTTTAATCCACCAAGATGTGTACAATTTTGCGATATTTCCTCAGTAATATAACAACTGGAAAAATCAATATTTAAAGAACCAATCCAGGATGAAGATGACAATGAATTGATCCTGTTGTCGGTGACGTCCTAATTCTGTGCATAATTACTTGATTTGAGGCTAGATGAAGCAACTAAACCGAAATACGTCTGTATATAGTGTTCACGACCAATACTGGTATACGGCTATCCTGATGCAATTACAAAAAAAGAACAATAAGAACAATCAAAATAATAAATTCTTCAATTTGATGGTATAAGATTATTATTATTTCCTTTAATTCCTAGAGGAACATAGGGCTTCAGCCATGCGTCTCCATTGCGTTCGGTTCTCTGCTAGGGTTTTCACCTGGCTCCAGGTCTGCCCACATGCTTTCATCTCTTCTTCGCATTATATCCTCCAGGTCACCCTTGGACGACCAACTCGTCGCTTCCCTTTCGGGTTCCACTCGAGCAATGGCTTGTCTAGTGATGTCACTTGATGGTTTGCTCCCTCAGAGTGTGGTCAGCCAATCCATCTCCATTTCTTGCTGCCTATTTGTTTCACAATTGGTTCCTGCTGTGTTGGTTCGCTCCCAGAGATCTTTGTTGCTGATCCTTTCCGGCCATTCGATCTTGAGTATTGAGCGAAGACATCTGTTAATGAAGGTCTGTAGCTTGTTTGAGGTGCTCTTTGTGACACGCCAAGTCTCTGATCCGTATAATAGCACTGACTTCACATTGGAGTTGAAAATCCCGATCTTATTTTTGACGCTGAATGATGTTGACCTCCACACAGACTTGAGAGTAATGAAAGCTTGCCTTGCTTTCCCGATCCTTGCTTTGATATCCTCGTCAGTTCCGCCTGTAGTTGAAACGATGCTTCCCAAGTAGGTAAAGGAGGTAGTTTCTTTCAGGTTCCTCCCATTTATACTGATTGTTGTCAGTTGTAGTTGTTGCTGTTGGTGGTGTCGCCCAGGAATTTTCATCACCTCTGTTTTCTCTATGTTCACCTGAAGTCCCTCCTATCTTCTCTGGATGCTTCTTCTGCCAACTTGTTGCTTTTCGCTTGCATATCTTCCAGTTTGTGGGAAATCAGACATATATCATCGGCGAAGTCCAGATCCTCGAAGTTCTTTGTGTGAGTCCATTTTATGCCTGTTTCCTCATTGCCCGCTGTTTGTCGCATTATCCAATCTACTGCAATCAGGAAAATCATTGGCGATAGTAGGCAACCCTGTCTTACTTCTGTCTTCACTTTGAAGGATTCCGTGAGCTTCCCGTTGTGGATTACTTGGCATGCAGCGTTGTCATACAACTGTTGGATGAGATGTGTAATTGCTGGTGGCACCCCGTAGTAGCGAAGTAGTTGCCAAATCACCTCTCGATCGACGCTGTCGAAGGCCTTTTCAAAGTCGATGAAGTTGAGATAGAGAGGTGACTGCCATTCCAAACTTTGTTCAATGATGATCCGTAGTGTGGCGATTTGATCAATACATGACTTGTTTCTCCTGAATCCAGCTTGTTCTGGTCGAAGTTTTTCATCCAGGGCTTGTTTGATCCTTTCCAGGATGATGCGGCTTAGTATTTTGCTTGGGATGGACAGGAGCATAATTCCGCGCCAGTTCTTGCATTGACTTAAGTCTCCTTTCTTTGGTAGTTTGAATAGGTATCCTATCTTCCAATTCTCGGGTACTTTGCCTTCTTTCCACACCTTCTCCAGTAGTGGCGTCATCAAGCCTGCTGTTGTCTCTCGGTCCATTTTCAATGCTTCTGCTGGGATTCCATCTGGTCCTGCTGCTTTCCCAGCTTTCAGCATCTTGATTGCCTTCAGGATATCTGTTCTCTTCGGGGGGTTGATGTTCACTGGTAATTCTGCTTCCGTTGTTGGTATTGTTGGGCGCGTTGTAGGTGGCGGTCGGTTTAGTAGTCTTTTTAAGTGTTTCCTTTGCTCCACTTCTTTGGTGAGTGACTTTCCATTGTCATCCTTCACTGGCTTAATTTGTGACGAATTTTTGCCTGAGAGGTACCTAGTTGTTTGGTAGAGTGTTGCGAGGTCTCCTTTACCTGCTGCTTGTTCTGCTTCATTGGCCATGGCTTCATAATACTTTCTTTTGTCTTCTCTGGCACTCTTCTTTACTCCTTTGTTCAGTGTATTGTAGCTTGCATTCAACTCTTGTTTCTGTTGCTCGTCGGTGCACTGGAGAATCTTTTGTTTCACCATCCTTCTCTCTTCTATTAGCCTCCAAGTGTCCGTCGTGAGCCACGGTTTGTCCTGTCATTTCTTTCTGCCCAGAACTTCCATGCAGGTTTCGGTCCATACCGTTTTCAGGTTGTCCCAATGTTTTTCGACGCTGAACTCTTTACCAGTGTTGATTTGTGTCTCGGCTTTGTCTTTTATGCTTGCAGTAAAGATGTCCTTTGTATCCTGGTCCTCTAGTTTTTGAGTGTGGTGGTCTATCTGCAGCTCCTGTTTCTCTGAAAGCTTTTAATTTGAGTTGGATTGTTCCTTGTACGAGGTAGTGGTCTGAGCCAACGTCTGCTCCTCTTCTTGCTTTTGTGTCCAGTAGGCTGCGCCGCCACTTCCTCGAGATTGTGATGAAGTCAATTTGGTTTTTGGTTCGCCCATCTGGTGACACCCATGTAGCCTTGTGAATATCCTTGTGTTTGTATACGCTGTCACCAATCACTAGTTCATTGAAGGCGCAGAAGTCGGCGAAGAGTTCTCCATTTTCATTCATCTCTCCCAGAGCTTCTTTACCCATGATGAGTTCCCTTCCTGTGTTGTCTGGTCCAAGTTTTGCGTTCATGTCTCCCATTAGTATCTCCTACTGATACCGTCGCCACAGTCATATCAGTAGAAGTCCGGGTAAGCTGCCGGTCAGCCACGGTTTCATTATCAGCTCCCCGTTGCCGATAACATCGTGGATGAAATGAAACAGCATGTTCACCCTAAGAAACGCTAAAATAGGAGGATAACTTCTGAAATTAAAGAAGCCATAGCTCCGCAACCGTAAGTCCTACAGGGACGAGACAGGTACCAATCGGTTCGGGGGGTAAAAGCTATTCCTAAGAAAAATACGAAGATTTTCCTGCCTAGCAGTCTCTGCCCCCAGTTGCCCTATGGTTGGTAATGCCCCCTAGCTACATACACAACGGCATACAACCTGAGGTCACGGAGCTAAAAAAAAATGTCAAGAGAACAGCCAGCGGCATGAACTCTACGTCTAGTAACAGGTTTCCCCTGTAGCCTTTGAAAAAATTCCCTATTCGGCTGAGGAGAAGCTATAAGGTGTGATACCGGTACCAATGGGTAGATTTCGTCGAGAGCTATCCATTGATATATAGCTCCCCTAAGTCCTAGCCTCCCTGGAAAAATTTTGGCAGCATAACCCCAGAGGGCGCAAGCCCAGATATCAAAGATCCTGAGGAAGGCTGAGGAGAGGCTACAAGGGTCGAAACCAATGTCAAAGGATAGATCTCACCGAGAGCTATCGATTGATATATAGCTTTCCTATGCCAGAGCATCCATAAACAAACTATGACCGTATGGTCCCTAAATGTCCCAACATAGTAAACATGAAGCTAAAACCTAGCCGAAACATGAAAACTACTAATAAAAATAACATAAAAATAAAATAAACTTACCAAATAATTCCATTGATGAGGATTGGAAGCCATCATATGCCTCCAAGTGACAGGGGCTGGCCGTAGAAAACCAGCCATCCGTCCCACGCCATGCCACAATTTCAGCTGCGCCTTCGCGCGCATCATCAATTAAAACAAAATGCCTAACTACGCCTAATAAACAAAAGCTTAATTCTCATTGGCTAAAAATACCCTGTATATTACTATACAAAGGCACAATGGGGAAAACCTGCAAAACTTTAAAAATCCATATCCCGCAACCGTAAGTCCTACAGGAACGAGACAGGTACCAATCGGTTCGTCTCGTCGAGAGGAATCCGATGGTATATAAATAAGGGGGGTAAAAGCTATTCCTAAGAAAAATACGAAGATTTTCCTGCCTAGCAGTCTCTGCCCCCCTGTTGCCCTATGGTTGGTAATGCCCCCTAGCTACATACACAACAGCATACAACCTGAGGTCGCGGAGCTAAAAAAAAATGTCAAGAGAACAGATAAGATACTACTTACTAATTGTTAAAAGCCACTACAAGATATACCTGTGTTAGTATAATTCAGTCAACTTAATTATGATAAATGAGATGAAGTTAATTAGGTGATTTAGTAGAAGCGATACATTGGTGTGCAGAGTACTGCGGCGCAGGGGGATATTCGGGGTGGGAGGGAGTGTTTGCAGGTTTGATCCATCATTGGAAGAAAACACAACAGACACAGCGAAAAACACACCTTACATTGACTACAATTTCAATGGTCTAGTCTATATATATGTCAGCGTTATACCTTAAACCCACTCTCAGATGAAGTCAGGGAATTCTCAAATTAAGCAGTTTTCCAGATAATTACCAATGGTTAGACGATCAAACTTGTCGCATTTAGAATCATTTCAACTAAGGTGGTAGGAGACTGTGGATCATTGTAATTTCAGATACGTTGATATTTCTGACTATTCCCTAACCTAATCCTAACAGCAAAGTTACAATTTAAGCACTAGTAAGTATCAACGGAGTAATGACCTTGAACGCACCAACCACATGACAAAGGCAACTTTTCCGTATAAAATACAAATATTGTTAAAAGTAATGAATTGAAAGGCATGAAACTGTTACACAGGATACTTTCCCCTGATGTGACAAAAAACACGTCAGTTCTATATTGCAGCATCAACAGAGTTATTTAGTTACATAATACTCATGTGATTATTTAAGTCTTCTAACCTTAATAATAACCCTAGTCTTCCTTTAACTCAACCCTAATGTCGTCTTCATTATGTCAGCCTAACCCTAACCTCTCTTCAGCCTAAACCCCAACTTAATCTTTCCTAAACCTAACCTGAAACCTGCCGGATATCCCACTTAATAACATAACACTACATTAAACATATTATATGCATGATTACAATGTTATTTGCCACCCAGTCGGTCAATGCACCTGGGCAAAGTGGCCGAAACGTGGGATAAATGGGTAATTTTGATCGACAAACAGGTGGGCAAAAGATGGTGTAAATGCAACCGATTTTACCCACTTTGCCCATACTGCCCACTTTTACCATTCGCCCATGTCCGGCAAAATTTTTTTGTCCCACTTTTTCCCTGCAGGTTCCACTAACTTGCATGCTGTGCGTTTTAAGGTCATTTGGTAGTTACTGGTGCTTAAAGTTCAACTTGGTCAACGAAGCCGATCTAGACCAAATGCCACGCCAGCAATGAATGATTTCTATGAACAAAGTAGTTAAATCCAGTGGTAACAAACAGTTTCAGATAAATGAGTTGCTTCAACAAGAAATATCTGAATACCAACAATTTAGAAATCATTTTAGTAGTTCGAAAAAATATGCAGCCAATGCGTTACGATGACGAATGTAACACCGTGACCCACTTACCTTCATCTCAAGTTACGTCCAGTTTAAATGCTCCACATGTGAAATGTGCTATGTACAATAACTGTTGTCCAATATATTAACTTGTCTTGGTTACATTAAATTCTACAACTTCCTGTTCAGAAACACCAGAGAAATGAGACATTTTTGTTATCAGTTTACCTTAAAACAGTGATTCTGTGGATATAATCTTGTTGACTGTTAATAACTATAAATAACGGTTTGCCATATTTTGACTGTTTAACACTAACTAATATCCCTGGTTGCTTACATTATTGCATCTACATGCCCAAGTTGGCCAAATTCAGTGAGTCTATGGTTTACATGTCATTTTTGGTAATTCTGACAGTGATATTTTTCCTACGCTTTTTGTTGTTGACGCTGCTTTTTCTGTTGTGGTATTTTTGATGTTGTTGCTGTTCTGATCCGTTTATTTCTTATTTTCCTGGTTCTGAATAGAGCAACTTAAAAATCGCTTCTCTGTAGCGTACATCTCTGTGAAATAACTCCCTTCTCCAGCGTCAGGCTAGCAACCCCACCCTGTAAACAAAGTTGCTATAGAAACTTATGTACGATGAGTCTCCTTGCGGCGAAAAACAAAGTGTGTGGGGACATGGATCGTCCACACCATGTATGGGACTGGGAAAACTACCCAGAATGCAAACGAGATTAAAAAAATGCTATTCAAGCGCTGGGAATATGCGAAAGCAGATGGAATAGTAGTGGACTCACCAAATTGTCAACGGGAGAGTCGATGATATACTCCGAACACCCAGAAGACAACCACGAGCACAGCGAGAGTGTGGCTATTATGATGTCAACAACGGCAACAAAGGCTGTGATACAATGACGGGCGAATTCCAAATTCGACCGCCACTTACAACGCGCTCAATATTATCGACATTGGAAGCAGAACTATCAGTGGACATCAAACCTCCGACGAGAACAGATATCCTGAAGGCAATGAAGATGCTAAAAATTGCAAAAGTATCAGGACCAGACGGAATCCCAACAGAGGCATTGGATAAGGACCCAGAGACACCAGCGGACTTGATGACACCACTACTGGAGAAGGTGCGGAAAGAGGGCAAGGAAACTGCGAATTGGAATTGGCTACCTATTCGAACTGTTGAAGAAAGGAAACTCAAGTCAATGCAAGAACTGGCACGGAATTATGCTCCTGTCCATCCCAAGCAAAATACTAAGTCGCATCATCCTGGAGAAAATCAAACAAGCCCTGGATGAAAAACTTCAACCGGAACAGGTTGGATTCAGGAGAAACAAGCCATTCATCTATCAGATCGCAACAACACGTATCATCATTGAACAGAGCTTGGAATGGCAGTCAGCTCTCTACCTCACTCAGCTTCATCGGCTTTGAAAAGGCCTTCGATAGCGCAGAGTCGATCGAGAGGTGGTTTGGCGACTACTTTGCTATTACGGGGTGCCGCCAACAATTGTAACTCTCATCCAACAGCTTTACGACAATGCTGCATGCCAAATAATCCATAACGGGAAACTCAAATAATCCTCCAAAGTGAAGACGGGAGTAAGACAATCTGGTTGCCTACTATCGCCAATGATTTTCCTGATTGCCGTAGACTGGATAATGGGACAGACAGAGAGCGGGCGACTAGGAGACAGGCATAAAATGGGCTCACACAAAAAAGAACTTGGAGGATATGGACTTCACTGATGATATATATCTGATTTCCCACAAACTGGAAGATATGCAAGTGAGAAGCAACAAGTTGGCAGAAGAAACATCCAGAGAAGATAGGATTCCAGGTGAACAAACAGAAAACAGAAGTAGACGATGAAGATTCCCGGCCGACAGCAACAGCACCAGCAAGAACAATAGCAATCTCCTTTACCCGCCTAACTGGGAAGCATCGTTTCAACTACAGGCGAACGGAACTGGTGAGGATATCAGAGCAAGGATCGGGAAAGCAGGGCAAGCTTTCATTTACTCCAAGTCTGTGTGGAAATCCATTGCACTCAGCATGAAAAATAAGATCTGGATTTTAAACTCCGGTGTCAAGTTAGTGCTACTTACCATACGGATGAGAGACTTCGCGCTGCGCCCCATTGCGCCGCTTCACGGAGGGCGCTTCGTAAAAACTACGGACCATCATCGACATCCGTCTTCGCTCAATACTTCTCGAGATCAGGTGGCCGGTCGGAAAAGATCAGCAACAGGGTAGGCTAACTGTCAATGAGCGAACCAATCCAGGGGGAACCGATTGTGCAACAAAGATGCAGGAAGAAGTGCAGATGGGTTGGCCATACTCTAAGAAAACCATCAAGTGACATCACACGCCAGACCACTGCTCGAGTGGAACCCGAATGTGAAGCGGGTGAGTGTGACATTGGGGAGGAGGTCATGTGAAGAGGAGATGAAAGCATGTGGGTAGACGTGGAGCCAGGTGAAGACGTTGGCAGAGAACCAAACGCAGTCGTGCGACTGAAGCCCAATGTTCCTCTAGGAATTAAAGGAAACAATAATAATATAATAATATGTGGTGATTTGGATTTGCCATCATGATCAACATGTGGATGAATATCCAGATGTTTACGGGACTTGTTAGTTCTGAGATTTTGATACGCGCCGTGAAGTGTTGCCGTGATCATGTAAAGTATACACATTTTTTAAATTTTATTTTAGTTACAGCATTTTGGTACAAGTATGAAATATTTAGCATGTGATATTGGTATCACTAATATAAAAATAAAACTTGTGCACTGTGGTAGAGTGTAATTCCATTATGGGTAAATTTTGTTTCGATAGAGTCTCTCAATGTTATACAGTAATGTTTACTGATGACGTTTCGAGCACAATTTATTGCTCATAATCATATCAAGGTAATCACACGACTTCCTAAATTCATTTATATAGTTCCATTGTTTTTCGCTTGATTTTCACTTGATTTGATTGGTGGTAATATTTTCCATATTTCGGGTATGAGTGATGAATCATTCTTATTGCATGTGTTGGGTGTAGATTCGATGACCAAGGATTCAGTAATCAACCTCTCTCTCCACCTACCTAGATTACTTTTCAGAATTTTAACCCTCTCCCACCCTATTGTGTGGTTGCGTGATAATGCATGCATTGCAATTGCTGAGCTTTTTTCTAAATTACTTTTCTTCTCTGCATGCA